GACTCCATCTTGAAGATAAAACTTTACAAATCAAGCAGCGTTACCCAGTTTATAAAGAGCCCGTCCTGAGTTCAGCTCAGTCAGCTGGACGTCGCTGCTCTGAGCTCCATGGAGGACTTGTGGCGGCGATGAGAGTCGAGCTGCGACCCTGCTGCCTCTCTCTGAAACAGTCCTCCTCCCCGCAACGCTTCCTGTTCTCCTGATCACATCTGCCAACAGAGAACAAGACACCGCAGACAGCCGATCACATTTGGAAGCTGCTGACCACAATGTACAATCAAACACACAAGTTACACAAATGATACATGAACTGGCTTCGATCTGTTAATTCACGAGTCACAGATGCAATTAAAAAAGGTTTCCAGACTCTAGCTGCCCCTCATTATAGGAGGAAAAACAAACAACCTTTAGCTTATTTTTATTTCTTTGATTACAGTTGCTGTGGGTGAAGCTAAACCAAGGATGCAGCAACAGAGTCACTTTAAAATCGTGATGTTTTGATGAAACACCTGCATGCAGGGCGGCCAGCGCTGTCATTAAAATGATCGGGCTGGTGGTTTTGTCCCACAGTGACGGGGATAATATTAAAAACAGCATCACTGAATACAAGGTGTCTGCAGGTCTTGAACGGTGCTCAGAAGAGTTGGATGTTTTCCACCTTAAACCCTATTAAACAGTGTTTGTGCTCCCTGGTGTCCGACGCTGATTTGTTTAAATGTAAAAATAACCTTATTAACCAAAATAAAGTTTAATATCACATAAACAGGGGTCGTATCACTGTTGCTTTGGGACTAATTAAAACCTCTTCTACTTTAGAACCACGTGTACATTACAAACCACTGAACTCGCTGCAACAAGAAAAACTGTTTTCTCCTTTAATCAAATAAAATTCAACGTCCTTCATTTTCATGGCAATTAATAATACGGCTAATTTATGATTTCCAGCTGAATGCTGTCTTCTACAGTTTAAGCCACCGTGGTTCTGTGATGATCAAAACATGAAGCTTTAAAAAAAGAAGTTTGCGAAATTAGGCAGTAATTGGCCCAAAACAGCAGCTGTTTCAAGGTCTAAAAAGCCTTCTGTTGCCTGCTGCTACACACCGACATCAGCTCGTCTTTGTTCTTTTTTTTTTCTGCATGTGTTTGGTTGAAATTGTGTCCAAATCATTTTACCTGATTAATGATAATATTATTAATTACACAGCCAGAACTCATCACTTTTTGATCGGTGCTACGGCCCGTGGTGTTTGAGCCGTCATATGTGGTGGACTTGTGAGGCCCAGCTGAAGATCCAGAACCACACCTGCCAGACATCAGCAATGATTGCCCTGGAGCTCCCCACCTACTCTCAGCCTTGTTCTTCCTGCCTCCAGTTACATCTGATAGGACCACCACTCCTCCTCCTACACCTCAGCAATCACCACACCTGGCTATAAAAGCAACCAGCACCCTCAGTCAGGACTGGCTGGGATTCAGAGTGAACAGTCCATCCTGGTGCCGCTCCATTTGTGGAAATGTAACTTCTGTTGGCAGCTGCTAACTCAATGTGAGAGTCTTAGTGGAGACTGACTCCTGTTAGCAGCTGCAACACTTTGTGTAGAAGTTACTCGTGTCTTGTGTTCTTCATATTGTGTGTTTTGAGGCACTAGTTTGTTTTCGTTTCTGTTGTTATGTGTGGATGTTGCTATTAGGTTTACAGTTTGGCTATAGAGTTGAGTTTAGTTTTGTTTGGTAGCTTTCAATACTCTGTTAGCCTTCGTTTGGTTCTTTGATTTGTAGCAGCATCCACCATCTTCTTTTGTATTGTCACTGTTCTGTTATGTTCATTTACGTGACTAAGCATTTCCATCTTTTTTTGTTGTTGTTGTTGTTAAATCCAGCTGATCCTAGAGGCTGGATGTAACAATTGGCATTAAAGTTTTTCTTTTTTTTAAAATTCTAAATAATTGTGGTGAACGCTGTAGGAACCTGTTTCTATCAGCCGAGTAACTTCCTCAACAGCACCACCTCTTTCCAGAAACAACGTCTCCATTACTCTGAAATAAAAACAGCAAACAGCGAAACACAAGCTGCTGCTTCCTGACCATGACCTGGTGCATCTTCTCCCCGTGTACAAGCCTCTTGTACACAGACAGCCAGCGTCCACCCACACCAAGAAGATCTGGTCTGAGGAGTCAGTGGAGACACTGAAAGACTGCTTCGACACCACGGTGTGGGATGTGTTCTGCGAGGACCACGGGGAGAACATCGACAGTCTGACCAGCTGCATC